AGGCGCAGGGTGTGGCGCCGGCCTCCGCTGTAAGCTGGCGCCGGGGTCCCGGGGCGCCTTTGGCCTGGCCGCTGGGCCACCCGCGGGCGGGCTCTGGGCTCGGCTACCAGCACCCCTGACCTGCGCGCTGAGCGCGTGGGCCGGTGGCGGGAGGAGCCAATGGCAGGGTGACTGCAAAAGGGAAGACTGCAAAAACCAAAAACCTAACAGGACTGAGCAACGCTGAGCGGGCTGGGGCCTGAGGGGGAAAGGAGGAGCCCTTGCCAGCCAAGGAACTCTGGAGCCTGGGGCTGCACACCCCTCCCTCCACCATTCGGACCTGGGGTGGCAACTCGGAGAGCTAGCAGGATCCTGCCAGGCTCCCTCTTACATTTGGACTTGAACTCTCCCTGCAAAGTGATTTTTGTATCCCTGTGCCTCTGAGGCCTATTGTCTGTTGCTGCTTTTGGGGAGAATGGGTGCTTTTGGACAGGGGGACTTGTATGTGGGAGTGTGGGTGGCCCCTGGTGTAGTCTGATGGCACAGTGTGGGGTCCCCTGCTCCTGCCTGTGTTGATGCCCCAAGTCTGTCATCTGGGAGGGGCTATCAGAAGCAGCCAAATAAAAAGGCAGCTATTATCTCTGTCTGCTACCAGCACTCCACTGGTCCTTAGTCGCCCAGGGTGGCAGGAAGGACTGAGGGACTTGAGGCCTGGGAGCTCACCCTGAAATGTTGGGCCCCAGCTGGAAGGCCCAGGTAGGTACTTGGGGGCACTGAGTCTGGCAAGACCCTAGGTGTGGCTGAGCACTGTGAGGGGCAGTGTGGGAAAGGACATTATTGGGAGAGGGGGGGCCAGGCCTGGGAGGCTAAGAATGTGGTCAGCCCCATCTCTGGACCCCTGCACATCTGCCATCTGCAGCCAGCCACAGTGAGGACAGCAATGGAAACAGTCTAGGCCAGTCTCAGAGAAGGAAGCTGCAGGTAGGGCCAAGGATTGGGGGTTAGTGAGTCTTGCCTGTGCCCTGCGTGATGAGATGGAGCTCCCAGTAAACCAGCGTAGCCAGGGCCACTATGATGAGGGGTGGCCTTAGAATCCATGATAGATTATGGGGAGGAGTTTAAGGGAAGTGCAGCCTCAGGCCAAAGCTGCCGAGGAAGTGGGAGGCACACCCAACCCCCTTCTCTGCAGAGCTATCTGGAGAGCTGCTCTCATCTAAAAAGAAAACTCCTGCGCTAGTGTCTGGCCTCAATCAGGCTGGCCTCGGTGGTGGTGCAGGTACTGCTTGCTGGGTGAGGACCCAGATGTACCAGGGGAGGGCTGAGAGCTTTCTGGTCTCCTTGGAGATCTGGGCTCTTGTCAGCTGGGGGAAGAGTTACACAGCTCAGAATGGGGTGGGTGGGCACAGGGGCTGGAAAGGTGCCCTTAGCCCTGGAGGAGTGAGGGTTCCCCAGAACAGTTGAGGTGGGGCTCACCACCATCATTCAAGATGTTTTTGCTTTCTGGCTGGTACACTTGGCTCACAGACTCCCAATTTCACAGGCCAGATGGCCATGGCACAGATCACAGGAAGGCTTTGACTGTGGGTCATAAGCGTCATGGGGCCCAGCAAGGAGCAAAATGTGGGATTCTAGCCCCAGGCCTGCCCACTGAGCCTTCCCTGTCACGGAGAGGCAGTGCCATGGTCTGAGAGTACACAGAAAATTGACAGTGAACCTGGGATCCAATCTCTTATCTTCCACTTACTACATGTGTGGCCCATGGCATTACTTAACCTCTCTACACCCTTGTTGCTCCCTCTGTCCCAGATGACTCCACCTCAGGGTAGCTGTGAAGATTAATATTCCTTCAAAGTGCACAATTGCTGGCAATCAGAAGGTGTCCCATAAATCGTTACTGTTTATATGTTATTATTCTCTTACGGCAGACCAGCCAGGACAATGCTTCCACCTTGCTTCAGTTGGGGGTTTTTATTCTCTGCTAGCATGATAGCATGACTAGCAAGTCCCACTTTCCTAAATCCCAGGGTGGAAAGACCTGAGGGTTCTCTTGCCCAGTTGTACTTTCAGCACAAGGGTGGCGAGGATGCCCCCTGCAGGTGGAAGGGTGAGTGTACAGCAGAAGTGTGAGGTCAGTGGAGGGCAGTGAAAGTACCAGTTGATCCTTGAACACCACAGGTTTGAACAACCTGAGTGTAAGAGAACCTGCGCGGTTCCAATCCAGTTTTTCAAGGGTATTTCTCAGCTGAATAATCTTGGCAAATTGCCTCATGATGCTGCTCCTTGGTGCTCCCGTCTATATAATGGACTTACGTAATAAGTACTTACATCACAGGCTGCTGTGCAGACCAAATGGGGTAATGCATTTAACGCACTTAGCACAGTGCCTGGCCCAGGCAAGCACTCACTGACTGGAAGCTATTAAGACATATTCTATTCACAAGGTTGTTATAAGGAGAGAATGCATGGGAAGGTATTTTATAAACTAAAGTCCACAACATATTGGTTGCTATCATTGTTGGATCAGGGCTGTGTGTTTGAGCGCACACACCTGTATATTTGCCTGCTGATATGTATTGGCCTAGCAGCCTGACATGCACACATTATGTTCCTGCTTATACAGATGTGTATTTGTGTGTGCATAAGTGTGTGTATTGATCTAACAGGCACCCCCTTCTCTCCCTGATGCTTAAGGGGATCCTAGGCCAGAATACCTTTAACCATGTGCCTTCCAGGCTTTTTGGAACGCTTGCTTGATTTTTTATCTGCTCCCAAGTCCATATCCATTCTCCAACATAGCTGATTTGCTGTGGAGAGAAGATAAGCCTGTGGCTGTTAAAGAAATGGAAGTTATCAACCGACACCACATAGGTTTGTCCAAATACAGAGAAAAACACTTAGTACAAGGATCGGTATTAAATGAATATAACACAGAAAGTACTGGAAAGACAACATATATGTAAGACAGAGCTGCTAAAGTTACGGCCAAAAGATATGAAGTATTGGTGTACATAAAGACAGAAATTATGTATCTATAAGGCTAGTACCAGCGGCCCACTCAAATAGTGTTCCGAGGGGAGAGCGCCTTAACTTCGAAAGGGCAGAGAGTAATAAAAATTATAGCACTTTCAGCAACTTTACAGCTCACAAAGGGCTCTAAGGAGCTCCGTTTCTTGCCTTCCCTTGGAAACCTGTGCCTTCCAAACCCTTCCCTTCCTTTTGCCGCCTCCGTCGCAGGGAACAGCACCTCACCCCTCTAGCCACGAATGAGACATCCCAGCAAACATAAATAATGATAAGACCCAGTGCTGTCAGGGGTGTGGAGAAAAGGGTACATTTACAGATTTCTAGTTGTTACTGTGTATCTGTTCCTGTTTTGGTAAAGAACAATTTGGCAAAATCAAAACCAAAATCCTCCAAGGGAATGAGCCAAAAGGGAACCAAATCTGCAGACAGGCAGCCCCAGCAGCACTGTGCCTGAAGGTGAAAGATCTGAAACAACGCGAACGCCCAGCCAGAGGCCGGCCAAGCTCCCTCCGGTACCCGGTGACCACCAGCATGAAGATGGTGGTGAGTTAGGAACAAAGGTCATAAAATGGGCTGCCCACCGATTCTAACTGCAGATAGACATGTAGGGGCATGAACGGGCCTCAAGAGAATTTGCAGGGAGGTAAACAGGGTTAATATCCATTAGGCTTTTAATAATTGTTTTTAAAAAGTGAAAGATTTGTCTCCTTAGAAAACCTTCCAAAGAGGAGTAGGGAAATGTTTCGAGCAAGGACAGTAAGGATAGAGTATCCAAGTGGATTCCTTTGGAGGGACCCCCCCTTACAGGTGTGAAACTGGGGTGCTTGTGTTGGGAGCATGATCATATCAACTCTTCCTCACACTTGCTGTGTGTGTGCATGTGTGCATATGTGTGTGCAGATGCCAGAAGGCTGCTGTTACCCCTGGAGCAGGGTGAGCTGGGCCCAGGAAGTCCTCAGAAGAGGAATTTGCTTAATTAGCCCCACAGGGTTTCCTGCCACCCAATGAGCCAAGGGTAGAAAGGGCCATGGGGCACAGACACGAGGGGCTGTATTACCTCTACCCCTTGGATCAGGCTCCAACTTACCTACCTTTCTGAGATTTGCCTCCCGGTCCACCCCATCGCCCAAAGGACACCCTCGAGCATGCAGGTCCACTTTCCCCTCCACTGTTTACATCTCAGCATCCTTCGTGCTCAGGGGAGCTAAGGTTGGGAGCGGGCAGAGCTGGAACGAGGGCTGGTGTGGCCACACCCTGGGTACTTGGTTGGAATACTTGGGTACTTCATCTTCCTCCAGTTCATCTGAATGCCCTTAACCATGAGCCAGGCACTGGGCTAGGGAGCTGGGTGCATGCCTGCCCCTCTGTGACCTCACAGCCCAGTGGGAAAGGGGGACAGAGAAGGAAATGACTTTCTGCAGTTCCTGTGCCCACACCAGGGAGCAGCCAGCTGTGGACCAGAAGGAGGGCCATCCATGTGTCTAGCTGGGCAGCGGCTCACAGCTCAGACCCCCAGGCAGGCAGGCCAGGTGAAGGTGGAGCTCTATGCTCTCCCTTCTAAAAGCTCCAGCTGACCCTGCGACTATGCTGAAAATGGGGCCAGAGTTCCCAAGTTCTCATGTTAAAAGTCTAAAATGCCTATTTTGTGTGTGTATAAAATAGATTAAAAAACCCCACAAAGCATGTTGAGTCAATATTGTGCAGGTCAAACTCACTTTGTGTAATGAATATGGCCTGTGGGTTTCCACTTGAGGCTTCATTTGGGGTCTGAGGGACTGGGGAGGCTGGAGCAGGACCAGGCTGCCGCAGGAGCAGCCGGCTGGGTTGGGCTCAGCAGCTCTAGAGCCTAAACTTGATGCTCCCTCTCTCTACCTCTCCCGGCCTCTGCCCCTCTCCCTGGTCTCCAGCCCTCACTCTGGTCATTTCCCTCAGCACCACCAGGCCACTAGGTGGCACCATGAGCACAGCATCTCACGGAGGCAGAACAAACCTCAAGTCCTGACTGCCCTCCCATCCATCAACATCACAGTCATGGGCTACCTTGGGGACTTCTTGGTTTTTTATTTTCTCTTTGAGTTTCCATTAAGTCAAAAAGTCCCCTTTATGTTAGGTTCATTCTGTCCTCGAGGCCAGCATTGCCCAATGGAAATATAATGCAAGCTATGTTTTCAATTTTCTAGTAGGCAAGTTAAAAAGAAGTAAAAAGACACAGGTGACATTAATTTTAATAGTTTTATTTAGCTCAGTATATCCAAAATATTATTTCAATATGTAATCAATGTATAAAATATTAATGAGATATTTTGCATTCCTTTTTTGAGCTAAGTGTTCAAAATTTTGTGTGTGTTTTGTACTCACAGCACACATCAATTGGGACCAGCCACGTTTCAAGCGCTCGATAGTCATTTGACTAGAGGATACGGAATTGGTCTGGGCATCTATAGGCCCTGTGGAGGGCCTGAGTTCTGCCACCTGAGGGCCAGCTCCCAGGTTATAACATGGAATTCTGTGCAAATGAATACTAACTTAGAGTCTAGGGCTGTCAGGGACCCAACTTGCCACCCTCTGCAGGAAGTTGCATATTTAAAAAGGTATTAGCTCATTTCTGGAAGTTCCTGGGCAGGGAAACTCATTTCACGCTCCCCCCCCACCCCCATTATCTCCCAGTCCCCACCTGAGGTGGGTGAGAGCCTCCCTGAGGACCTAGGTGAGGAAGAATCTCCCCCACCCCCACCCCTGCCCATGGAGGGCAGGGGGCCTCAATCTCACTGCCCTGGAGGTCTGTATTTTGCAAATAACAGTGGATTTTCATTATTGAGCAACAATTCTTAGTTTAATGTAATCATATTTATCAAACCTGAACATTTACCTCAGAGACACAAACTATTATTTTTTAAATATATATATATATTAAATATATCTTTATTGATTTCAGAGAGAGAAAGGGAGAGGGAGAGAGAGAGAAACGTCAATGATGAGAGAGTCATTGATCGGCCGCCTCCTGCACATCCCCGACTGGGGATCGAGCCCGCAACCTGGGCATGTGCCCTGACCAGGAATCGAACTGTGATCTCCTGGATCCTAGGCCAAGGTTCAACTGCTGAGCCACGCCCAGCCAGGCCCCACAAACTATTTTTGAAACCGATTTGCCTCCAGGAGTCCTTTTGGCTCCCCTGGCATGCGGCTCCTCGCTGCTCTGCTCCCCTCCCCTCCCCTCCCTCTGTGGCCAGTTCTTCAGGGTCTCCTCCCCGTCACAATCCCCCCCTGCCTGTACCACCCTTGCTGGAAGCGGCATTTCTGGGGCCAGCTAGATACACGACCCAAAGCCATTTCTTTCTGCTTCAAACTAGTCGCTGAACAGGATCTGACCAGACACTTTATCTGGTTGGGATACAGTTTGAGATGAGCATCTCTTTTCATTTCCAGGCCTTGCTGTTCTAATCTGTGATAGCAAAAGATTTAAACTGCATCGCCTGAGCCACCTTTCATCTGTAACTTCCCATCCCACCCCCATCATGCACGACCCCAGGGTTTGAAACTCGGCTACCCTCCTCCAAACCACACACACACACATCTCCTGGTGTTTCCAGGTCACTCTTATAAAGATAAGCAGAGATATTGGGGACATAGAAAGAGCTGCAGAGAATAGAGGAGGGAGAGACAGAAGGAGAGAGTAAATGCAGCAAGGATCAGAGCAGACAGGCAGCCAGGACCCAGGCCCTTCAGAGTCGCCATGTGCCCCCAGGAGCCCCTAACAGGAGGACCTTTGCCTACTCTTTAGCACCACAGTAAAGCTCTGATGGGCTTGAAATGGGGCTAACACATCTCCCCTGATGCNTTTAGCACCACAGTAAAGCTCTGATGGGCTTGAGATGGGGCTAACACATCTCCCCTGATATCCCCCTCTGCCCCATACCTTGCTGAGCTGCTCAGAAACCCGTTCAGAGAGCCCTGTTCGTCTAGGCAAGATCCTGCAGGGGCCACACTGGTGCTCAGTCTCCCCTTCTCTCCTGGAGCCGGGAGCCAGGCTCTGGCCTCTATACCTCGGGAGTTGGAGGTCATGGTCGGGGTGGGATGAGTTGGTTCAGGGCACGGTGTTTCCCAACAGGCAGGAGGAGGCAGCAGCCTGCTCCAGGGAAGGAAATCAGAGGCATCAGCTTCCCAGGGCAGTTGAAGACACACACCCCTGTGACCTGCCCTGTCTCCCCCCCCCAGCCCCCAGCCCAGAGGAGCAGGTCGTGTGGCTGGGCTGGGAAGCAGAGGCCAGGGGAGTCCCTCTGGGCTGGGCTGGGCAGAGGCAGAGAGCTGCTGGGCGGTTCTCAGGGGAGAGGGGAATTGAAAGGGAAAAGCTTCTCTGAGGAGGGCAGGGAGGAAGGGAGGGCGTGTGGGACACACACACACACACACACACACACACGCCCTGACTTAGCCTAAGCCTCACTCGGAGCGGAGCCTCTTCTCTCTGCTCCGGGAGCCGCCGTCTGTTGCTTCTCCGCCCATCTGCGTGCTGCCAGCAGCACCAGCAAAGTTGGCCTCAAACTTGAACGGAACCGAAGGCTCCAGCTCCCGGGAGCTCCGCCGGGCAGCAGGTAGGACCCAGACTCTGAACTCTGCTGGCCAGGGACAGCTGCCCCTCCAAACCTTGCTCCCTGGTGACACTTCCGCCCCTGCCCTGTAGGCCCCCAGTCTGGGCTGAGGAATGGTGTGCTGAGGTCCCCCCGGCACCCCCTTCTCACCGTCTGGAGCTGAAGCAGCCCAAGGCCCAAGCCGGCATGGCCAACCCGGTGCAGCTTCAGTTTCCCCCCGCGCCGGAGCCAGGCACTGCCTCACCCCTGGAACTGCCGGAGATGGAGATGCTTCTCACCAAGGCGGAGAACAAGGGTGACAAGCCCCTGAAGCTGCCCAAGTCCCTTTCCGGGGCTCTGGACCTGGAGCAGAACGGCCACGGCCTGCCCTTCAAGGTGGTACCCGAGGGGCACCGGGAGGCTTCACTGCCCCGGTCGCCCTCTCGCGCCAGCTCGAGGCGGGCATCCTCCACTCTCACCACCTCCTATGCCCAGGACCGAGAAGCCCCCAAAGATTACCTTATCCTTGCCATCGCCTCCTGCTTCTGCCCCGTCTGGCCCCTCAACCTCATGCCCCTCATCTTTTCTATCATGGTAAGTGCTGCTCTTTGTTCCAGGGCAAAGGCTGGGCCCAGGGGGCAGCAGGTGTGCTCCCTGGCATGATGCAGAGAAAAGAGAGCTGGGAGCTAGGTGCTTGGAGAGAGACCGACCCCCTTTCTCAGCTGGCCTACTACTCCCCCTTGGAGAAGGGGCCAGGGGCCAGGAGAGCTTTCCTTTGCTGTCCTTTCATCTCTGCTCTGGGGCCACATGGCTGGACTTTGCACAGAACCTGCTGGGGAGGGGGCCCCAGGGAGCCTCCTGGAGCTAAATTCTGCAGTACAGAGAGACAGCCAAGTTGGAGGTCTTGTCTTATGTGGCGGGTGGGTCGGGTTGTTCTGAGGTGTCGTTCCTGAGCAGGGGCTGTGTTATCAGCAGAGGCTCCAGCCACCATGGAGTCTCAGGGCCCGTGTTCTCAGGAGGGGAGCCAGCCCCCCATGGCCTCCCCCACACCTCGCCCTGGGTCACCTGGGTGTTCTCAGAACCTCCGTCGGCTCTGATTTCCAGGAGCCGCGGTGGCTTCCCTGCCAGGCTGCTCCTCCTGGGGACAGCTCTCTCTGGACCCTCTGGGCCTTGGTGGTTACGCTGATTTCAGCAGCCATCCTCGGGGCAGGGGCGGTCTGGGCCACGGGCTAAGCATGTGTCAGAGGGCACAGCGAGACTTGCCAAGGGGGGCACTTGAGCTTGTCTCTGCTTCTCACACACTTATGCTTAGGGTTTTGAGTAAATTGTTTTTGATTGTCCCCAAACCAAGCCATTTGGATAGAGCTACTTGCAGAGGATTCAGACACTGTCAGCAGATGTGACTTTTGAGGTCTAGGAAGGAGACAGACAGACAGACTGGGCAGGCAGAATGAAGTTAGGAACAGGGGGCAGTAAGCTACTAGCCCTGGGCTGCTTCCCTCTGGAGACGCCACTGCTGAGTCATCGATCGCCAAGCCCCTCGGAGCTGTGGTCCTTCTTGCTGCTCCTGGGCTGTCCTCTGAGAAAGCCCCCGTTTCCTCATACTTCTCTGTCCACTTCACTAATGCCCCATTTCCAGCTGGGGAAGACTTCCCCAGCCCCTGTCAGATCCTGCACCACCTACCAGGATGTCAGGGGAGACTGGCAGCACTCCTAAGTCACGGATTGGCATGGGCACAAGAGCCAGGGCTGGGCAGGACCCAAGGTGGGACCTTTGAGGGGCTTCCTGTGTACCTCTGCACTTGGGGACAATGGGGGCAGCCAGTGGCTCTGGGCAGGGCCAACCTCTTGGTTACAAGGAGAAGCCCCAGGAGGGGGGCAGGTTTGGGGAGAAAACCACCCAAGGGCCCAGGAGAAAACAGTTGCTAGAATCTGTCTCCTGCTGGGGGTTGGCAAAGCACAGGCTGGGTAGAGCAGCTTTTGTCAAAGGAGACCTGGGCCCAAGACTGTGAAACCAGTGAGCCCACACTCAGTGCATTTCTATGTCCTTCTCAGCTTCTTGAGTCAGGTGTCACTGGCACAGGGCCAGGGGCAGGGAATCAGGTGCTAAACCAGACATCACCATCAATTCCCAGGAGCCTCCCGTCCAGTGGGGAGAAACTCGTAAACAGATCCTTACAACACGTTGCAAGAAGTGTTCGCGCTAGACAAAACCACAAAGTATTGTGTGGCCTCAGGCAAGTCACTCAAACCTCTCTTCTTTTCAGTATTCTTATCTGCAAAATGGGTTGTGACCACAACACCTACATTAGAGAGCTGCGTGAGGGTGAAACCAGACGAGCCATACAAAGTGCTTAAGGACAGCACCCAGTACACAGTTAAGTGCTATTACATAGTAACGGTAATTCTTTGGCAGCTGAGTGTCTCCTTGGTGAAGGGAAACCATCACAGGTTTGCTGTGTGTGGTGTGTTTTTTTTGGTTTTTTAGAGCTTTGAAATATAATTCACATATCATACAATTCACCTATCTAAAGTGCATGACAATGATTTTTTGTTTTGTTCTGTTTTGTTTTGTTAATGCTCACTAGAGGATATTTTTCCATTGATTTTTTTAGAGAGAGTAGAAGGGAAGGAGGGGAGAGAGAGAAACATCGATGTGGGAGAGACACACAGACGGGTTGCCCCTCACAAGAGCCCTGACCAGGCCAGGGATCAAACCTGCAACCCAAGTACATGCCCTTGACTGGGAATCGAACCCAAGACCCTTCAGTGCACCGGCTAACACTCTAACCACTGAGCCGCATCAGCCAGGGTGACTCAGTGATTTTTATTATGTTCACAGTTAGATGCAACCACGACCACACTCAATTTTAAAGCATTTTCCTCACCTCCAAAGAAGACTGTGAACCTTTTTTCTATCACCNCCCCAATCTCTCCCAAGCCTAAGCAAACACTCATTTTTCTGTCTCTATGGATTTGCCTCTTCTGGACAGTTTATATACATAGAATCATACAACATGTGGCTTCTTGCAGTTGGCATCGCGTTTTCAAGCCTCGCCCAAGCTGCAGCATGCAGCATATACAGCGTAGAATTTGGAGCCAGAGAGGGGTGTGGCCAGATTTTCCACTTTTAGTCTTGTGTAGGGTGAAAGGAGGGACCAAAGGGGCCCCTCTGAGCCTGGCATTAGGGAGAGGGCACCTTGCAGGAGTGCAGGTGACACATGGAGAAGCCCGGGCCATGGCGAGGGGCAGGGGGAACCCTCTGAAAGTGGTAACAGATCACTCATTCAGTCGACCATTCACTTGAACGGCAAGTTGCTTGTTTGGAGGGAATTAAGTGGCAGAGGCTCATCAGGACCCCATGAATGAATGTGTCTTTTTATGAGCCGAGCTAAGCATTTGGGAAGTAGCTGGATGAGACCTGGTCTGTTTCTCTCATCTGAGAAAGATGCGAGAGTGTGGTGGTCAAGGGAGGCATTGAGGACCTGCTCTAGGAATTTAAGTTTTATCCTAGTGCCTCTGAGGAGCCTCTAAAAATTTTAAGCAGCAGTGTGATGTGGTCAGTTCATATTTTAAAACCAATACCCAATTGTATTGTGGGGAACGAACTAGAGCAGGCGGGATGGTGATCAGGGAGACCCCGCAGGAGGCTCGTGAGACAGTCCAGGTGGGACGAGAAGGCCTGAACCAGCAGTGGGCTGAGAAAGGAGGGCACTGACAAGGGAATCACTAAGGAGGCAGGAGCAACGCTTGCTTTAGGCTCCTGGATCTTCAACTCAAGAACAGTGGGAACAATCTTAGAGAAAGCTCTGGGGCATACAGCACTTCAGGGGTGGGCAGAGGGAAGTGGAGAGAAAAGGGTCTTGAAAAGAAGATTCCAGGAGGTGAAAGGAAAACTGAAAAACAGGGGGAGACACCCAGGGAGGAGTGAGTTTGGAGGAGGGAGTCGTCAAATGCAGGGGCGAGAGCAGATTCAATGAGGATGGGAGTGTCCACTGGCTCGGCCACATATAGACCCCCGGTGACCCCGGCGATGGAGGAGCTTAGGCAAAAATGAGAGGTGACTGATGAGGTGAGGTTCCTGAAGAGGGGAAAGATAGGATCCAGGGGAAAACCATCCTTCCTGGGGGCTTGGAGGGGAGGCCCTGAGGGCGGAAGCAGATAGAAATACTCAAAGAAAAGGGAGGTGGTTCATGCAGTGTGGGATCCATGCCACCAGGGACATGGAGGGCAGGGTTGTTTGCTGAGAAGTAAGGACCTGATGGCAGAGGGGAGGAGAGGCAGCTAGGGGCAGACAGGTCAATGGCCCAAGGGCTCTGCTGAGGCTGGAGACCAGGGGTTCGAGTTGTTACCAGCCTGCGTGGTGGGGTAGCTTTTCTCCAGCTGTAGATACAGGGCCACTGATGTCACATTGGGCCCACCCAAACCTGGGGAAGGCAGACTTGCTACGAGGACAGGACCGGGTGGCACAGAAAGTGCTAGCCAGGGTTGCTGAAATGATGCACCCGAGGATCGGGCTGGACTGGGAGGGAGGGAGGCCAGGAAGACGGCAATAACCTTGGAAGAGAGGGAGGTTGGTCACAGGATGGGGCTCAAAGAAGTCAAAGGGCAGATGCTATGAGAGTGGGAGTACAAGAGAGAGATTGGAGGGGTGGGGATTTCAGAGGGGGAGCCAAGGGTGGAGTATAGCTGTGGAAATGAATTTCTAAAGGGAACTATTAAGAGCCAGAGAGGAGGAACCTGGGGAAGCCCAGTGATGAGGGATAATGTTAATATCATTCACCGTGTGCTTGCTAAATGTTAGGCACAGGTCCAGACACTTTATATATATTATCTCATTTAATCCGGAGTATATATTGTTATTACTCGCAATTTACAGATAAAACTGAAGTACCGACGTGTGAAATAACCTGCTAGTGATTGGGAGCCCAGGACAGGATGCCTGGAGCCCAAGCGCTTGTTCCTACCCATGACACAGCCTGCCTCCTGAGTCAGAGGGCGCCCAGGTGGGGAGCATTGTTGGGTGTGCCCACAGTAGCTGTCCCCCTCTTGAGAGCCAGTCTAGTTCATAGGACACTCCCCTTTCCCAGCGAGGGCGGGGGAGTCCCACCCAAACAGCAGCTGGGGTGAAGGAGGGCCAGAGACTGTGGAAAGAGAGGAAGTCTCCCGTGCTGGTGTCTCCAGGCCCCGGGGACAGGATCCTCACCTGAAGCCCCCCCGCTGGTTACCAGGTGAAGCATCAAAGCCTTTGATCCAGGGCGCAAGGAGACCCACAGCCCTGGCAGCTTTTCTAGAGCTCGCTGTCTGCAGAGCATGTCCTCACGTGAGGCCGACAGAGTCTGGCTGACTGTTCCCATCGATAGAGAGGGCAACTGAGATGTACAGATAGTACCCTGCCCGCGGTCACACAGCTGGGCAGAGGCACATCAGCTGCCTGGTGAATCCAGTGTTCTCGCCATGGTCCCACCCTGCATCTACTTCTGGGGACAAGGATGGTGTGTGTCCCCCAGGAAAGCCAAGACTTTCAGGCATCAGTGCAAGGAAGGAAGGATTCCACTTCCTTTTCTCTCCCCCCCCCCAGTTCTCCTCCCCGA